GGGGATGGGGGAGATGGGGGGATGGAGGGATGGGGAGATGAGGGGATGGAGGAATGGGGGGTTGGGGGAGATGGGGGGATGGAGGGATGGGGGAGATGAGGGGATGGAGGAATGGGGGGATGGAAGGATGGGGAGATGGAAGAATGGGGGCATCAGAGGATGGAGGAGATTGAAATGGAGGGGATGGAGGGATAGGGAGGAAACGGAAGGGTGGGGAGGATGGAGGGGACAGGGCACTGGGGGGAGGAAGGGATGGAGAAGGATGGGGGAGTTTGGGGAGTGTAAACACGGCACACCCATAAGCAGCCCCTCTTTGGTTTCCCAGCAAACCCCACCCTTCCGCCTGGGGGAGTTGTCGCTCCTCCCGCCCCCTCTCGCTCCTCTCCCCCTCCCCCACTGGCCTTCCCCTTTAAGGCGGCGGGGGAGGGGCAGCCCCCTCGCACCCTTGCCTCCCCTTTAAGGCCCGCGCCGGCGGCAATCGCGCAGGCGCGGGGGTGGGCGCGGGGGCTGCCGGGAGAGGCGGCGATGGAGGCTGCGCGGGCCGTGCGGGGCAGCTGAGGCCGAGGAGGCCGGCCGGGGCTGGGGCGCGCAGGTGAGCGGAGGCAGGGCGGGGCGTCGTTCTGGGGAGAGGACGATGGACCGAGAGCTCACCCCTCAGCCTCGAGCGCCCCCTACGGGATGGGGGGGCTCCCCCCGGCCCTGGGCGCCCCTCGGGGACTGGCGGGGACTGTCAAGAGGCATCCCCGGGAGCGCGGAGCTCCCCTCTATTACGGCGTGCCCCCCAGGAGAATGGGGAGCTCCGCTCTATTATGAGGTGCCCCCCAGGAGGAGGCGGAGCTCCCCTCCATTACGGGGTGCCCCCCAGGAGAATGGGGAGCTCCCCTCTCTATCTTGGAGTATCCCCGGGGTGAGGGGGAGCTCCTCTATTATGGGGTGCCCCCAGAGGAATGGGGAACTCCTCTCTATTATGGGGTGCCCCCCAGGAAGAGGGGAGCTCCCCTCTATTAGAGGGTGCCCCCAGAGGAATGGGGAACTCCTCTCTATTATGGGGTGCCCCCCAGGAAGAGGGGAGCTCCCCTCTATTAGAGGGTGCCCCCAGAGGAATGGGGAACTCCTCTCTATCATGGGGTGCTCCCCAGGGGGAGGGGTCTACAAGGAATAACTCTCCAGTCATACTACAAGTTGTATTCAATATAGAGGAAAGGGGTGGGGGTGGAGATCGCCCCCCAAGACGGACCTGCATCCCTAGCGGATGGACTAGGCAGGACCCCATGCATCCGCCAACAATCGGGGGTCCTCCCCTCCACCCAGGGGTAGCCCCTTCCATACCCCCTCCCCAGGTTCCCGGGGTGGGGGCAGAGAAGGGGCCGGTCCCCACTGCAATGCGTCTGCGAGGGAGAGCGGCAGCTGGAGACGCCCCCTGGAGGCCACTGCGGGAAGTCCCGGCCGAGCTCCAGGCAGGACCCTCGCTGGGGCACCGCCCCCCCCAGGCTGTCAGAGCCCGAGCGAGCATCCTTGTCCTCCCCCCCTGCAGGGGCCTCCTCCCAAATCCGAGCCCTCCAGCCATGGCCACCCTGGTGATGTCCCGGGAGGAGAAACTGAGCCAGGATGAGATCGTGCTGGGCACCAAGGCAGTCATCCAGGGGCTGGAGACCCTGCGGGGCGAGCACCGGGCCCTGCTGGCCTCCCTGCTGGAGAATGTAGCTGGGCGGGAGGCAGGCGAGGCCGAGCCCGGAACCCAGGAGCGCTCGGGGCTCCTGCGCCGATCCCTGGAGGCCATCGAGCTGGGACTTGGGGAGGCTCAGGTACCCGGGGGGCCTGGGAGAGGAGCATTTTAGGTCTAGGGGGAGGCGAGTGTGGGGGAGGGGACCCGGAGTCCCGTCCTCCCGCCCGGGCCGCCCCCTTCAGCCTTCTCTCCTGGCCGAGGGGCCGTAGGTGATCCTGGCACTGTCGGGCCACCTTGGGGCTGTAGAGTCGGAGAAACAGAAGCTGCGGGCCCAGGTGCGCCGCTTGGTGCAGGAGAACCAGTGGCTCCGCGAGGAGCTGGCCGGGACCCAGCAGAAGCTGCAGCGCAGCGAGCAGGCCGTGGTCCAGCTGGAGGAGGAGAAGCAGCACCTGCTGTTCATGAGCCAGATCCGGAAGCTGGACGAGGACCCTCCCGCCAACGTGAGGCCTGGTCCCGACCTCCTCCGGCTGGGGGGGCTTCCCCTGCGTCCAACCACCCCGGGCTCCTGCCCACAGGCCCTGCCCTGGCTCCCCTCCCTCTGCAGGATCCCCCACTTCTTTTCCCCTGTGTGTGATTCGTCTTCTTCCGGTTTCCTGATTCCATACCTTCCTTCGTCAGGAAGAGAAGGGGGATGTTTCCAAGGATTCTCTGGATGACCTGTTCCCTAACGAGGACGAACAGAACCCAGGTAGGGAGGTGGGGAGAAGAGGGTCTCGTAACCGTGGGCTCTGTGACTGGCTGGGAAGCTGCTTCTCAGAGGGGGGCGCATCAGATAAGAGGGAGGCTCCCAGAACCCCCAGGCATGCAGTTGCACTGTCCCAGCCTGTGGACAGCCCTCACTTCTGGGCCTTGGGGCCCCCTCTGACCTCCTGCCTTCCTCCAGCTCAGGGCCCTGGGGGCGGAGATGCAGCAGCCCAGCATGGAGGCTACGAGATTCCGGCCAGGCTAAGGACCTTGCACAATCTGGTGATTCAGTACGCCTCCCAGGGGCGCTATGAGGTGGCTGTGCCCCTCTGTAAGCAGGCCCTGGAAGACCTGGAAAAGACCTCGGGACATGACCACCCCGACGTGGCCACCATGCTGAACATCTTAGCGCTCGTGTACCGGTAAGGGGACGCCTGCAGCTCGTTGTGGAGGTGGGGAGGGCGCGGGGCCTGGACTCAGGAAGACCCTCACTTCTGAGCTGGGTGGCCCTGGCCAAGTCACTTCACCCTGCTGGTCTCAGTTTCCTCATCTGTGAAATGAGCTGGAGAAGGAAATGGCAGACCCCTCCAGTATCTTTGCCAAAAAAATCCCAAATGGGGTCACGAAGGGTCAGGCACGACTGGAAAATGACTGAATGAGAAGCAGCCTTGGATTCTGTACAAAGTAGGCTCTCCACAGGCCTGACCCTACCCCAGGTGAAGAAGGGAGGGGGCGGTGTAGGGTAATGAGCACCTCCCCCCTGCCCCAAGAAAACCTCCACTGATGCCTGAAAGCCCCTCGTTAGCCCATCACTCCTCTTGAGTTGGCCCTTCTCCCCTTCCGCTGCCCCAAGCCCCTTAGGGAAACGGTAAATCTCCCTAAGAAAGGGAGCACGTGTGTGCCCCGACAGCCCGGGCAAGGTCCTGGCTCTAGAACGGGCAGAGAGCCTCGTTTTACAGATGGGGAGCAGGCAGCCCAGGGAGGACAGCGACTTAACCAAGGCCCCGCGAGTGGCCGTTGTGGTCTTTTCGGGGTCAAGTGGTCCTTTCCCTGCCCCCCATGCCGTCTCTTTGTCCCCTCAGGGATCAGAATAAATACAAAGAAGCTGCCCACCTGCTCAACGATGCTCTAGCCATCCGGGAGAAGACCTTGGGCAAGGACCACCCAGCTGTAAGCAGGCCTGGCTTCCCTGGGCCGGGGGGGTGGGGGTGAGGGAGGGTCCCTGCCTCCCCAGGGCTCTGCAGCTTTCTTCCTTCCTTCGCCCTGGTCCCAGGTGGCAGCTACCTTGAACAACCTGGCGGTCCTGTACGGCAAAAGGGGCAAATACAAGGAAGCAGAGCCCTTATGTAAGCGAGCCCTGGAGATCCGAGAGAAGGTAGAGCCTGCTGGGCCCCCACCCCCCGGGCTGTGGAAGGAGCGGGCGGCCAGGTGGTTGCTGCTGGGTCAGAGCACAAGCGAAAGGAGCTTCCCCTGCTCCTAGGTGCTGGGCAAATTCCACCCGGACGTGGCCAAGCAGCTGAATAACCTGGCCCTGCTGTGCCAGAACCAGGGCAAGGCCGAGGAGGTGGAATACTACTACCGGCGCGCTCTGGAGATCTACGAGGCCCGGCTGGGCCCCGACGACCCCAACGTGGCCAAGACCAAGAACAACCTGGTGCCTGAGCCGAGGGAGGCCTGGGGAGGGAGGGCCGGGTGGGCCGGCCGGGCCAGGGCCTTCACTGTCCCCCTCGTCTCCCCCTTCCTCAGGCCTCTTGCTATCTGAAGCAGGGAAAGTACCAAGACGCAGAAACCCTGTATAAGGAGATCCTGACTCGCGCCCATGAGAAGGAGTTTGGCTCAGTCAATGGCAAGTGCTCCCCCGACCCCCCAGCCCGCCTACCGTTGGCCAGGCCGGGGGCTCCAGTGCCCTGTGACAGCCCCTTCTTTCTGTCTCCCCCAGGAGACAACAAACCCATCTGGATGCACGCCGAAGAACGGGAAGAGAGCAAGGTATGGGGGGCAGAGACCAGGGCTCAGCCCTCTCACAGGGGCTCAGCCTCGGCCCTTTCCTCAGCCCTTTCCTCCCCACGGCTTGACTCTTTTCCTCCCCTTCAGGATAAGCGTCGAGACACCACACCCTATGGAGAATACGGCAGCTGGTACAAGGCTTGTAAAGTGGACAGGTGAGAAAGGCTGAGCCTGGGGGCCTTAGGGGTGGGGTCCTGAGGGGGCTGGGGGCCTTGGGGCTGTGGGGTTTCAGGGGTGGGGGGCCTCAGGGGGCTGGGGGCCTCAGGGGTGAGGGTTCTGAGGGGGCTAGGGGCCTCAGGGGTGGGGGCCCCAGGTGTGGGGGGCCTGAGGGGGCTGGGGAGCAGAGGCTGCGAGGGCCCCTGGGTCATGCCTGCCTCGTCCCCCAGCCCCACTGTGAACACCACACTGCGGAGCCTCGGGGCTCTCTACCGCCGGCAAGGGAAGATGGAGGCGGCTCACACCCTGGAGGACTGTGCCAGTCGCAGTCGCAAGCAGGTTGGCACAGGACCTGGGAGGTCGGGGCAGGAGGGGTCAGGGACTTCTCTGCTTCACCTCTACCTCATCCTCTCCTCCTGCGAGCAGGGCCTGGATGCCGTGAGCCAGACCAAGGTTGTGGAGCTGCTGAAAGATGGCGGTGGGCGAGGGGAGCGCCGGAGTGGCCGAGAGGGCGCCGGAGGCGCGGTTTCTCGGGCTGAGCCGGAGCCCGAGGATTCGGGGCCTGCGGCCGAGTGGTCCGGGGTGAGGGGGCCGTTGGGAGTCGGTCGGGGGGGTGGGGGAAGGGGCGGTGGGGAGGGGGCAGAAGAGCGGGCAAGCAGTGTGGCCGGCTCCTCTGCCCCCAGGATGGCAGCGGTGCTCTCCGGAGGAGCGGCTCCTTTGGGAAGCTGCGCGATGCCTTGAGGCGCAGCAGTGAGATGCTGGTGAAGAAGCTGCAGGGGGGCGGGCCCCAAGAGCCTCCCAACCCCCGGTGAGAGCCCCGCCCTCCCTGGCCCCGCCCCCGCAGTTCGGCCTCCCTCCGGCTTTAAGCTCTCTGAGCCGCCCACCCCTCTAGGAAATGTCAGCCCCTCCTCTCCCTCCTGCAGGATGAAGCGAGCCAGTTCCCTCAACTTTCTGCACAAGAGCACAGAAGAGGTCAGCCAGGTAAGGAGAGCTAGCGGAGGACCCAGCACCCAGACTGTAGGTGCTCCCTCCCCTCGGGACCTTGTGAACAGAACCCAAGCTTCCTGAGGGCAGACTGTATCTTTGCAGCCAGCAGTGGGTTCCAGGAGCTGCGGGTATGCGGGTATGGCTAGGGGACCCTCTGTAGGTGGTGTCCCTGCCCATTTCTCTGGCTGATTCTCAGAGCCTAGTGCCAGTCTGCCTCGCCTGCAGGAGAGGCCGTGGCTGGCACCACCCCCACCCAATAAACCCCCCCCCGCCCCAAGGCCCAAGGGGGGCCCCCCCCCCCCCCCAGCACCTTTCCAGCAGGACCTCTGGCAAGCATCCCCGGGGCCTCTTGGAACTTCACCAGCCTTGTGGTTCCCACGTGCAAAGACCCCCTGCCCCCACCCCCCCAGGACTAGTGGGGATGAGGCGGGTGGACCTTCCTCTAACCCTCCCGTATTTACCCACAGGCCGGCGACACCAACCTGTCCGACAGCCGCATGCTGAGCTCCAGCTCTCTTGACCTCTCTCGGCGGAGCTCTCTCATTGGCTAAGAGAGAGGGGTGGGAGGGCCTGCCCCCTCCTCAGCTCTGGGCCCTCCTTGACTCCTTGTCATCTCCCACAGGGATGGCGGGTGCAGGGGGACACCTGAGCCTCAGCCTTGCTCCCGCCCTGCTTCGGCCACCCTTCCCCCGATGGCTGTTTCCCACAGGTCCCCTCCCTCATTGTTTTTCGTTCGATCTCAGGGTAACCTCTCCCCCTGTCATTTCAGGCTTAGCAGTTCAAGGCTTATTCCCCTCCCGGTCTGGCACTGTTAGTCACGAAACCGAGAAGCGTCACATTGGTGACGGAGTGCAGAGAGGAGCCAGGATTCCCCCGCCCCTGTATTTATTTCCCTCTTCCCTTCCTCTCAGTGGGAGCCAGGAGGAGCAGGCCTCTGGCAGAGCTTCCCAGAGCAGGCCGGGCCACCTGGCCTTGGGGAGAGAGAACACCACCAGGCCTCCCCCTCCTCCCTTACCCAGGCCTCTGCTTCTGTATATAGAGAAATAAGTTATTGGCCGCTCCCTTCCCCACTCCCTGTCCATGGTACCTGCTCTAGCCCTTTCCCTGTCCAGGGATGCCACCCAGGCCTTAACCCCTTGCAGACAAGGTCTTGGACACATACGCAAGTGCAGAAATATGCCCAAATGATGGGAGCCTGCCTTCTCACCCCCTGAAACCACATTAGTGTAGGACAGAGGTGCCATGTCCTCTACGGGACCTTCTCGTCTACAATAGCTGGCACCATCTTCACTTTTCTCATCTTTGTTCCTTCCGGGCTGTGGTGCCTGGGCCTTAAGCACTCCTTTTGAGCCGCATTCCAGGGACTTCCGAACCCTTCCCTGCCGCCCCCTCCCTCCCGAGGTACCACCTGCTGAGCCATTCCTGGGGCTCCCACTGCTCCCGGTCCTCGCCCTCAGAGTCAGTGCAGGGAGGGGGCAGGGCTAGGGTGGGCTGGGGAACCCTTGTGCTTTATTCAGATGTTGCTGTAGAAATAAAGCCAGTTTGAATTCAGATGAGTCCGGTCTGTCAATGGAAGCTGCGCCTCCTTCCCATCCCTCATGTTGGGGGTGGGGTGGGAGAGTGCTCCACGCTGCTGGGGAGAGGAGGGGGGGGCGCTCAGGGGCTCACCCTGCCTACCATGAGGGCAGGTGAAGAGTCACACCAATGAATATGGAAGACGATGTTAGGTGACCTGTTCAAGGGCACACAGCTAGTAAGGGGTAGAGCAGGTGGTGTGTACACGTAGGCTACAGGTGTGACGATCATTGCCCCAAATTCCCCGGGCCTCCCTCCGCCGGAAAAGCCCCTTCGGATTGGGGAATGAGTAGAAGACTACAAATCCCAGAAGGCAGTACGGTAGAGAGGGTAAGCCAAGCGAGAGGTGCACATGCGTCGCGGTGTCCGGGCGCCTGCGCAGGCGGCGAGAGGATGAAGTCAGGAGAGAACTACAGGTTCCAAGAGACAGCGCCGTGCGACAAGGAGAAGGGAGGGCCTGCGCCTGCGCGTGGGGGCGGAGCCGCCGCCATCTTGGAGCGGGAGGCGGAGCGAAGCAGACAGGGAGGGAGCGACCGACCGGGGCCGCTGCCGCCGCCATGAACCCCGAGTAGTGAGTGACCCTCGCCCGGACCCCCGCCCCTCAGACCGGGGAGGCCTCGGGCCCCGCGTCCGCGACTTGTCCCCGTCCCCTCATGGGCCCCCAACGGGGTCCCCGCTGCCCTTCTCCCTGACCTCCGGGCCCCGGCCCGCCCCGCCCCCCCCCCCCCCCCACATCCGGATCCGGCGGGGCGGGGGTGCCTGGCCAGGACCCCCACGCCCCCCCCGAGCCTGGGAGGGGGGCCGAGGAGGCCGCGTTCCCCCTGCTCCCTCTCTCCATCCCGCCCCCCTTTCCCTGGTCCTCCTCTCCCCCAGCTGTCTTGGGGACTGTGGAATTTTCTAGATTTAGGTCGGAGTCCCCCCAACACACACGCTCAGGCTTGTCGTTTCTGGAGACCCCCCCCCAGAGGCACAGCCCACCGGGCCCCCTCCCCACGCGAGCGTCGCGGGGACCCCCCCCCAGCTTACACTCGGCAGCGATGGGGACGTGGTGAAGGGGGTGGGGGGCTGGACACAGTAACAGGGGAGCCCCCCAGTGTGCACGGACGCCCCTCGGGGCCTCCTGGTGTGGATAGGACTCGTTGCAGCCTTACTTACGCCTCTCACAGTGTGGACCTAACTTATTTCTTCTCTCCAGTGTAGACATAACTCGGGTCCTGTGCGCTCCCCAAGTGTGGACGTGGACGCCAAAAAACCCAGCTGTTCCTTCCCCTCTCCCCAAATGTCTCCATAATAACAATAGTTCACATTTTATAACGGTTTAATGTCTAAGAGGTAAACCTAAACCTTTGAGGAAGCTAACTTCAATAAGCATTTATTAAATGCCGACTGTGTTCCAGACACAACACGCAGAAAGGAAATGCTCCCTTCCCTCAAGAACCATATATTCCACTGGGAAGATACGTGTGCATAAGTAAATGCCAAGCAAATATAGTGATTGAGGGAGGACGCTATGCTCATGAGAGCAGTCTTGTTTAGGAGGGAGCACTGGAGCGGTGGTTTGAAGGACCCAGGAATTTACCTTCCCTGTGACTGTCCTGGGCACTGTCCATCTCCCAGGCCCTAGCCATCCTCCCACACCCAAGTCTTGAGTCTTTTCTTAGCCCCCACTTCTCTCCCCTGACGCTGCCCCCCCCCCCAGATGCAGGCCATCGGCACTTCATAGCTCAGCTATTGGAGTAGCTGCTGGGGGTCCCCGCTCTCTCCCCACTTCAGCCACCAAAGGGATTTTCCTAAAGCCCAGCTCTGACCACGTCACCTCCCACACTCAGTCAATTCCAGTGGCTCCCTGTGGCCTCCAGGATCAAATAGAAATTCTGTTTGGCATTCAGAGCCCTTCGTAATCAGCCTCCTGGCTGCTTTCCAGTCTTCATATACCCTGATGTGCTTCCTGGCTGCACCTCCAACAAGACTCTCCATCTCTGGGCTGCCCCCAGGCCTGGAACACTTGCCCCTCACCTCTGACCACTGACCTGGCTACCTTCAGGCCTTCCCTGTGAAACTACCCCCAGTGCCATCCGTATGCTTTATCTGCTTGGTTGTCTGCAAGCTGTCTCCCTCGTTAGACTGTGAGCCCCTTCTGGGCAGAGCCTGGTTTGTCGTAGGTCTTTGTTTTCCCGAGGCTTGGCACAGTGCTTGGAACACAGTAGGTACTTAATAAATGCGGCAGTGGTGAGGAAGGAGTACCTCCAGGCGTGGGGGAAGGCAGTTTGATAGAGCAGAGTGTGAAGGGGTGGAGGTCAGGGGGAGGCAGCTGGGAAGAGCTGTCTATGCCAGGTGGGCAGGCTGGGGGTCTGAGCGCAGCCTCCTGGGCAAGATGGAGGGAACTGAAGGAGAGAGGAAGGAGGATGAGAGCTTGGAAGCCTGTGGTATCCTGGACTGTGGTAGAACTGCCCTCAGGGCTGGGTCATCTGTGTCGGGAGGATGATTGAACTGCTGGGAGCTGGAGAAAAACAGCACACATTCCTATAAAGTGCAGTGGGCCAGGCCAGAAGGGGGAAGGTTCCTGCCCTCAGTCTGGGGGGACAGTAGTGACACATGGAGGTTTGCTCAAACATGAAATGAAAATGAAGTCATCTGGGGGCGGGGTCCCGTAATGCTTCTTGTGAGGGGCGGGGTGGAAGGGAGGCCAAGGAGCTGGGAGAAGGCTCAGAGAGTTTGTGAATCAGAGTAATGGGCTGGGGCTGGAAAGAGAGGTTGGGGCCAGAGTGGGAAAGGCTTTGAATGCCAAACAATAGGAGTCTGCAATGGAGCTGAGAAGCAGTAAGGAGACAGAGCCTGGCTTTGGCAGTTTTCTGGAGGCTGGATTGTGGTGGGGAGGGCCTTGAGGCAGAGACCAGTGAGAATGTATGAGGGGAGAAGCCTTCAGGAGGATGGTGGCCTCGGGAGTGAAGGATACATTTAGGGCAGGACAGAGCCCCGGAAGGAGGCTGAGGAGGGGCAGGCATCTAATCGGAAGGAGGAGCCCGCTCCTCGGCCCTGACCCAGTCTGCAGAGACCTTCGTAGCTAGGGTGCAAAGCTGTGGCCTTGAGCAGTTACCAGATGATTGGCCAGTGGCGACGCCTCTAGCCAGATCCTGAGGGGTTAAGAAAGATTGAGTAGGAGCAGAAGTGAGATCAGGAGTGTATCCCGTACTCTTCCTAGGAGTTTGGCTGTGGAAGGGAAAATAGAGAGAGCATGAATGTTTAGACAGGGAAAGTGAGGACCATGGGTGATCTGCCCCAGAGGCCCTGGCTGCCCAGCATGGCCAGAGGGGTGCCTCCCCCTCCTCTACTTTTATTCACACTTTTTGGGGCCTTTACCTCTTCTGAGGCTTCTAGGGCCAGGAATCTTGGGGAGCCTGCCAGGGAGCTCACACGCTGAATCCAGCCTGGGTGAACGTGGCCCAGGAGGGATTCTCCTCTTTCCCTGGAATGCATAGGCCGGCTTCTTCCCATGCTTGACCAAGATTTCCGTGGCTCTGTGAACCTGGGCGCACAAATGATGGCATCTTTATTTTCACTAACCTTTAAGTAATACTGAGCATTTCCCTTCATTATTTATAAATGCTGTTCTGAGAAAAGGTCTGGGGGCTTGGCCAGACTGCCAAGCGCTCCATAACGCAAGAGAGCCAAGCCCTGGGGGTCAGAGCCTCACCTTCAGACCCTGCCCCCACATGGAGCCTCCTCCTTTGGCACAGACCCATCTCTTCTTGTCCTTTTAAGTCATCAGTGTTTTAAAGAATTGATTCCTCCCCCACCCCACCGTGGGCCCCTCCCCTCATGGCTCCCTCCATCCATCCCTTGTCACGTCAGGGCTCTTTTGTTTGGGTGATGGTCTGGGCCCTGCATACAGCAGCCAGACAGGATCTCTGCTGCCCTGGCCTTCCAGCATTTGGCCACTTTGCTTTCTTGTCATCTTTGTTCATCCGCCCTTCTGAGGTGGCCTCAGGCCAGTGAGGCTTGGCTTCTGAAATGGTAGAAAATGAGGGGCCTGGCTGCGCCCTGACTGATGCTTCAGCAGGTTCTTTCCTTTCCTCACTCCCTTCTCCTGAGCCTCAGTTTTCCTCTCTATAAATGGGAATGGCCTCACTGGTATTAGTCTCCTAGTCTCCTTTGTCTCATTGCCCTGTGATGGTCACTCACCTTGTCCTGGCTGCCTCCTGCCCTTTGCCCCCGGCCACGTGCTTGGGAGCAACCCCTCTTTGGCTGTTAGTGCACAGTCTTCCCTCCCCCTCCCTGGCACTGAACCTTTGCCGTGAGCTTTACCCGGCAGACCCCAGAGGGGCTGTGAAGCCTTTCTCAGGGGCTCCTCCCAGTCCTGATTGCTTAGCAATTCTGCATCCCCTGTTGTGTTAAATTTGGCAAATAAGGCTGGTTTTATGGTCTAGTGAGCAGAGGGTGTCACTTGGAGTCAGGGAAGCCTGGGTTCAAATCCTGACCCTGACATTTACTTGTTATATGATCATTGCTCTGAGCCTCCGTTTCCTCCTCTGTAAAAAGGGGGTGTGGTGACACCTCACAGGCTCCTTGGGATTGACCGATGGCATGAGGCCTGTGCGTTACCCGAGTTCCCAGCAGCCTCTTCTCCTCCCAGCCCGCCCCTCTTTCTTAGCAGTTCTTGGATTCTCTTTCTACCTTTAGCAAGAAGTGCACCATGCCCCCACCTGCCTTTGTTTTCCCCGGTTTTCCACATTTCCACATGCATCCGTTTTCTCGGCAAGCTAGAGCAGGCTCTGGGCCCAAGGAAGAGCTTGGTGGGAGCAGGGCCTGTCCTGGACCCTCACGCCCTCCCCTTCCTCTCCCCCCAGTGATTACCTGTTCAAGCTGCTCTTGATCGGCGACTCGGGCGTCGGGAAATCCTGCCTGCTCCTCCGATTCGCTGTGAGTCTCCTGCCCGTCCCCGGCCTTGGTTTGCCATCTCGAGTTCTCGGTCTGGTCTGTGTGAAGGCAGCTGCGGGAGCGCTGGCTGCCCTCTGACTGCTCAGAGATGCGGGGTGGGTGGCACCACGAGGGCTGAACGGAACAAGAGGGCTTATGTGGGGTTGGGGGACAGCGCTGGCTCTTGGGGGTGGTGCTCAGGAGTCCCGGGGTTGGGTGCCAGGGCCTCAGCTGGGCCAGGGCTCCAGGGTTCTCAGAGGCTGCACACTCTGACATTCCCAGGATGACACGTACACCGAGAGCTACATCAGCACCATTGGGGTCGACTTCAAGATCCGAACCATCGAGCTGGACGGCAAAACCATCAAACTTCAGATCGTGAGTGCCTGCTCTCCCCTGGGGGGTGGCAGGAAGGGCTTGGCCTGGGGCCCCCTCACAGTGCTGCTTTTCCCTGTCCCTGCCTTTTGTCTCTTGCCTCAGTGGGATACAGCCGGTCAGGAGCGCTTCCGGACCATCACGTCCAGCTACTACCGAGGGGCCCACGGCATCATCGTGGTGTATGATGTCACTGACCAGGTAACTCAGCCTTGCCAAGACCCCTGGCCTCAGTCCTTCCTGGCAGCCTCAGGCCAGGCCCTGCAGCGTGCCAGTAACCAGCCAAGGAGGAGGAAATTGAGGGTAGAGGGGGCCCTGGGCCTTCCCCCAAAGTTGGCACACGCAGGACTGCCCTTTCTGGGCCGGGGGCTCCCAGAGGCTGGTGGGTGCCAGGCCCTGCCCCTCTTTCCACTGAGAGACTTTTTCCTGGAACTGTGACAGACAAACACACACCCCCCCCCCCTTCATTCTGCTGTGGTAGGAGGGGCCAGGGTTACTCTCTGGGCAGATCGTTCTCCAGTGATGAGGAATTTACTCTTGTGTCAAATGATGCCCTCGTCTCCTTCTGTCTCCAAGTCCTTTGCCCACATCCTCCCATTCTGCAGATAGAGAATCTTGTGCCCGGCTTAAGGTCACATGGTCTGAATCTTGGCTTGTCACTCCAGACTCTCTCCATTGGCTGGGCAGTGATGGATGAAAATCTCCCGGCTGCTAGGCCCCTTTTCTATCTAGACCCTAAAGACCCTCGGTTACCCACCGAGATGCTGTGTAATGGGGGCTGTGTCCCAGGTATTGCTGTCAGAGGCTTCTGGGCGTAAGTGACCTCTGTCCTTCTGCCTCAGATTCTCAGCCTCTCTCTCCACGTAGGGGGCTGGAAGAGTCCTACTAAGCGCCCTCTAGGCAGGGCAAGTTGACTCCCTCTGCCACCTGCCCCTTCTGCTCGGGGCTGGGGACAGCATGAAGGGGGACTTGTCATGGTGCCATCTCCTCTAGGAGTCCTATGCCAACGTCAAACAGTGGCTGGAGGAGATCAACAGATACGCCAGTGAGAATGTCAACAAGCTCTTGGTGGGCAACAAGAGCGACCTCACCACCAAGAAGGTCGTGGACAACCCCACTGCCAAGGTGACGGGTCGGTGCCGGGGGTGGGGGCTGCCCGGGGGGCGTGCTCCAGAGCCTCTGACCTCTCCCGGCTTCCCCTTAGGAGTTCGCTGACTCTCTGGGCATCCCCTTTCTGGAGACCAGCGCCAAGAATGCCACCAATGTGGAGCAGGCCTTCATGACCATGGCGGCCGAGATCAAGAAGCGGATGGGTCCCGGGGCTGCCTCGGGGGGCGAGAGGCCTAGCCTCAAGATCGACAGCACCCCGGTGAAGCCAGCCAGTGGAGGCTGCTGCTAGGGGGCGGAGCTGGAGGGCACTTCTTCTCAGATGATGCCCCTGAGGCAGGAGGCGGAGCCCCAAGCCTGCCTTCCCCCTCCCCCACCACCAAGGGGCATTTGATTCTGTGGCTTGTGGGCAGTGAGTGCTGTCACCCACTACCACCCCCAGCCTCCCTCCCGAAGCTCTTGGTTAGATCTGTGCTGCAGGTGGGGGCCGGGGGACCTGAGCAGAGCCTCTGCCTGGCGGCCTAAGGCCTCCCAAGGCCTTGGAGAGCCCCCTTCCTGCCTCCCCAGCGCCTGTCCTCTCCCCAGCTTTCTTGGGGAGCTGGAATCTCCCTTGTTCCCAGCTCGCTTCCCGCTTTCCCTCAGTGCTGCAGTGAGTCCTGGGGAGTCCCTGCACCCCAGGAGCAGGGAGCCTCTTCCGCCAGACCCACGGCCCCAGGTCCTGGGGAGGATGAGCTAGACCTCAGGAGGGAGCGGCCCTGGGGAGCTTAGCCGCCCCCATCTTCGCCCCCTTCCAGCTTCACCTTAGCCTCCTTTCTGGCTGCCGCTAACCCCTCCTGGCCTTGAGCTTTTAGCTCAATCCGTCCATAATGGCTTGGGGGGGGTTGGGGGCGAGGCTTCGCACAAAGCCCAAGTGGGTGGGCGGCAGCAATTTTGGATTTGCATTTGTGCTTGGGGGGGGGGCTGTTGTCAATCACTTTGCCCCTGGTCCTTCGCCTGTCTCCCCTTCTTGGCCCCGGGAGCTGTGGAGGAGGAAGGCCTGTGCCGGCTCAGGCTGGGGGCAGAGCTCTGCCCTGCTGGAGCCGGGGCGGCCCAGCTCGGCTGGGGGCCTGCCTGCCCCTTGGCGGCCCGAGGATTGTGCCCCTCCCCCCCCCATGCAGCTGGCTTACTCGCTCCTGGTTTTTTTCCTTCCACCCCAGGATAGAGTAAATGGTATTTCTTGCCTTGGTTCCATTAATTGTGTGCTCCCCCCACCAGTATTTCTTCTTTGTCATGGCCCCCTTTTCCCAAACAGCCTGAGTGCTTCAGTCCCAGTCAGCGTTGGCCAGGGACAGTCTCAGAGGCCCTGGGACTCCAATTAAGGAGTCCGTTCGCCCTGTCTTTCCCTTTCTCGTCCCATGGACCCCTGGTCAGTGTGACATACACGAACATGTACACAAATGTGTTTCTGCTTGTATTTGAAGCTGCAGGGTGGGGACCTCGCAGGGCAGCCTTTCTTTGAGGATGCCAACCCCCCACCCCATCCCACCCCCATCCTTCCTTCCTACTCACATTTCGTCCAGCATTTTTGCAAGGAAAAGCCACTTGGGGAAAAGAAACAAGGATAAAAATAAATCCTCAATAAATCTTCAGTGGCCTCGGGAGAACCCCCCCAGGGGGTTTTGCAAGGAAGTTGGCAACCAGCCAGTGTGGTTTGTGGGTAGCGCCCGGGGGGATCCCCAGAGCCGGGAAAAGGTGCATATGGGGTGGCTGTGGGCTGAGGGAAGGTGTCTCCTAGCCAGGAGAGGTGAGCTTTTAAGACCCCTAGCACCCTGGCGTGGTGAGGGGTGGGCTGTTGCCATTAAGGTTCTTGACCCGCTTCCTGCATCTGGGGGTTGTCACGAAGAGCTTCGGCTCGCGACGAAACGGTCTGGAATGGGAAGGAGGGGAAGGGAGCTGGGGCTTTGACTGATAATGCCGGAAGACAGATGGGGAGGTCACAGGAATGCCTCGCCCGGTTCCTTTTCCTGCCTGTCCCCGCCCCTGCCTTTCTCTATGCCCATCAGGTGGCAAAGCTGTGCATACACCCCTGGAGCCAGCTGCCTGGGGACTCCGTAAGCGGTAGCCATTCAGCCCAACTCCAAAGCATTGTCCCTTCCTCCCACTATGGACCCACGAGCGCTGTCGCCCACCCTCGGTGGCGATCTGCGTGGGTGCGTGTGATGGCATTGTCGGCCCAGGGTGTATGTAAGGGGGCGAGGCGGGGAATTGGAGAACTGCAAGAGTTCGGGGTGTCCTTTGTGCTCGGTGTTGGCAGCACGATGTCGGGGGGGAGGGGAGCTGTCATTTGTGAATATGGGGGTGAGCGCGCGCGCGCTTGCTTGCTCGCGGGGGTGGGCGCTGGGCACCATCGCCCCGGACTAACGTGGGTCCTGCGCCCCCGCTCCGCAGGACCTTCCCGCGTCCTGTCTCGTCCCGTTCCTTGTCCGGGGGACCCCAGTCCACCGGCCGGTCCCCGGCGGCCCGCTGGCTTTGCCCTGTGGCCCCGCCCGCCTGGAGGCCGGGCCTGCCCCTTTGTGGGGAGCCCCGCCCCGGCTCCGCCCCCCCAGCTTCCCGGGCTGGAGAGGGAGCCGCGGGGCGAGCGCAGGATGAGCGAGAGGGGCAGGAGCAGCCGCCAGCGCCAGCGGACGCGCCCCCCGAGCCGCCTGCCCGCCCCGCGCTCCCCGAGCCCCCCGCGGCCGGGCCGGCCGGCTGGGTGGGCGCGTCTGTCTTCGGGGCTCGCCTGGGCGACCCCCTGGGCCATGCCAGGCCAGCGCTGAGCCCTGTGGGGCGGGGTGGCGGCCGGAGCGGGAGCCGGGCCGGGCCGGGCCGGGGCCCCCCGGCGACGGGGCCACCCGACGGCGTAGGCTGGCGCCCCCCGGCCTGGCGCTGGGCCCCGGGGCCATGGCGTTCACCTTCGCCGCGTTCTGCTACATGCTGACGCTGGTGCTGTGCGCATCCCTCATCTTCTTTGTCATCTGGCACGTAAGGCCGGGGGCCGGGGGACGGAACCAGACCGGGACCGAGGGGTCTCCGGCCCCGGGCGCCCGCGGGGGCGGGGGCGCTGCACGCTACGGGGGGGAGCTCCTCAGGGCAACGAGGGGAAACTTGCCTACTGTTATGCCCTCCCTCACCCTCGCCTCTTCCCTTCCTTCTTCCCCGAATACCTGTTCCCCCTTCCCATTTTCCTCTTTTTCCAGCCCCTGTTTTTTTCTGCCCTGATACCCCATTCTGGTCCCCCATGCCGCTGGATGGGAAGCGGGGCGGGGGGGGGGGAAGGTTTCGGGTTGCTCTGCACTTGGGGGCTTAACTTCTTCCAGCACAGCTCTCCTCTTCCTCCCCCCTTTTCCTGGCAGAGCCTCTTCAATTCTCCCTCTGCCTGTACCCAGGTCTATCTGTCCCCCCTCCTCCCTTCCTCTCCATTGTGGGTTTTTCCAGCCGAGTGATGGAGCCAGTTGCCATAGCAACTGCATCTGTTTACAAGTCCCACATCTACCGGACCCTATTAACCCCCCACCCCCACCTCACAAGTGTCCGTGAAGGAAGGGTCTTGGTGGGACAGACCTCCCCATCTTCACCAACCCCCTTGATCCTGTTGCGTTCCCATCCCCCGTGCTCATTCCTCTCCTTTCCGAGACTCCATCCTTCCTCTGGCCTGATTCTTCTCAGTGCTGTTGGACTCTGCTGCCTGCTGCCCCAGGTCACTGTTAGCTCAAGGGCCAGGTAGTTCTGGGATTGTGGGGAAGAGTGGAGGGGCTCCCTTGCTCAGGGTTCCCTTTTTACCTTCTACTCTCTGACAAGTCTTTGCTATGCTGCCGGCCTCCCGTCCCCTCCTTCCATCCCCATAAGCCTCCTCCACTTCGCTTTCTGCTCCCTACCCGCAGCGTCTCTTCTCGCCACTCCTAACCTCCTCTCTCTGGCTGTTTTTTATTCTCTCCATTTCTTTCCCATTCTCCAATTTTCTAGCACCCTCCTCCCATTCACTCACTCAGTCATTCCATTCATTCACTGAACAAATGTTTCCTGGGCACCTGGACCGGGCACTCGATAGAACATGGCTCCTACCCTCAGGGAATGCACATTTTCCCCACATCCCCAAATCCACACCCCCTCTTCTGTTCCTCTGCCATCATTTTCAGTCTGCACATCTGTGTTCTTTCATTTGCTTTCAATCTCTCCTTCCCACATCTCTGTCCTCATCTCTCGCCTTTCTGCAGCCCCACTGCTGTCTCTTGCTATTTCTCTCGTCTTCCTTTCCCTCTGTACTTCCTGTCTCACTCATCTCTCTCCCATATGTCTGTCTCCATCTTTGTCATCCTCTCCATCTGTTTCCCCCTCCTCATTTCCTATGCTGCCTATGTCAGTCTCATTTCTGTCTACCCCGCTTCTTCCCCCATATCTCTGTCTGTTTCTCTCCCTCCCTCTGTCTCTGTCTCCCTCCTCTTTGTTCAATGTCCCCCTTCTCTTTTCCTTATTCTCTTCCTGTCTTGCTCTTTCCAGTCTGCTTCTCCCCTTCCTCCACCCCAGCGTCTCCCCACAGCTTGCCTCTGTTCACCTCATTCTCCATCTTCGCTGTCTCCCTCTGACACTTGTGCCTCTCCTACCATCTGTGTGAACTGGATCTTTCTCCCCTTTCCCATTGTTCCTTTCACCCACCTCCATCCTCTCGGAACCTCTACCTGTCACTTCCTCCATTCTTGTGGATCCTTTTCCCCCCCAATGTCTTGTCTTCTCATATGTCCCAGCTGGTTCCTTGTCTCTCATTCCCCGTTTCTGGGGCTCCTTGCTCACCTACACTCGAGTGCGCACACACTCACAGACACACACACATACACACCCACCCCAGACCCTGTGACTCTTCTCTCACATCACCATCCCTTTCTCCCCATTTTTTGCCTGTGTCCTCTCTCTTATCTTGGACTCTTTGTTCATTCAGCAAGTGTTTAATGAGCCCCAATTATGTATCCAAACCCTGGATTGGGTATTATAGCTGTCTTGGTGCTCATTTTCTTTGTCTCTGCAGCCTCTTTCCTCTTTTCTGCCTCTTTCCCTTATCTCTTCTCCCATCCGCATGTATAGACCCCTGCCTCAGTCTCCTACTTTCCCCACTCCCTTACATGAGGTCAGGTGAGAGAGGGAATAAACATTTGTATAGCACCTACTGTGTGCCGGGCACTGTGCTGAGGTGCTTTTGCACATATCTCATTTGATCCAACAGTCCTGTGAGGTTGGTGTTGATATCCCCATTTTTACATTTGAGAAAACTGAGGCAAGTAGGTTTTAGTGATTTATCCAGGATCGCACTCAGACTGGATTTGAACTCAGGACTTCTTGACTTCAGGCCCAACAACACTCTAGCTGCCATCCCAGTGGGCAGTAAACCTTGGGGGAGGAGCAAGAGGAGACAGGTCCTGGGGGGGATGAGAGAAGGCCCAAGGGAGCTAAGGCAGACAGATTTCCGGAGACACAAAGTCTTTAGAGAGCAGAGCCTGTGTCCAGGAAGCAGGTGGAGGTGAGAAAAGACTGTAGCTGAAGGAGCAGGGAGAATGGGGCTGAAAGTGGGAGCTTGAGGATTGGGAAGAAGGAGGGGCTGTGGATTAGGGCAGTTGCAGTAAAAAAAAGGGGCTTCCAGGAGCCTTCCCCCACTTCCTGGCCACCGAGGCTGCCAGAATTTCCAGGTCTCACTGAGGGCCCCTCAGCCCCAGGGGACCCATCTTCCAGACCTGAGCAGTGCCAAGCTTCCTGCCAACCTGGGGCATAGACTTGCTTCTCACCAAGAAAGGATGACCAGATGGGGTGTGTAGGGTGAGAAGAGAAGCAAGTCACCTGCCCTCGTGTGCCAGAGCAGAGGAAGGCTGGCATCCAGGGAGGCAGAAGCTGCAGGGAGGGGCCTGGGGGGAGCAGGGAAGAAGCTGAATTGAATCCCAGGGAGACACTGGCCGGGGAGAAAACTCTACCCCGTGGAATCCCCTCCCTCGTGTTACAAATGAAGAAAGTGAGGCCAAGGGTGGAAAGCCAGTTGCCCAAGGTCATATGGAGAACAATGGCAGAGCTGGGCCTGCTGGAGCCGAGGCCCCATGTCCCAGCCTCGGGCTCCTTCTCTCCTGCCTCTCCCTCCATCTGGAGCCCGTCCCCCCTCCCAGCCCCACACCATGTGTGCAGGGAGGGTGAGGAGGTGGTGTTTGCAGTTGCTAGGCAACCCAGGGCATCCTGGTCTCTTGACAGGTTCATTGGGTGAGTGACAGGTGTCAGTTGGGGGGGGGGATTTGTTTATTCTTGTGGGAGTGATAGAATGAGAGAGGGGCACCCTGGGCCTGGCCTTGGGAGAGGACACAGGTTATCTCAGCCATCCCCCCTGTCTGGACCCAGTGGCACCCTGAGCTCCAGATGGCACCCTGGGGAACAGGAAAGGCGAGATGTTCTCTAGCTTAGAACTACCCACCCTGCCCCCACTCCAGGCTGCCGAAGGAACACACAGAGGGGTCCCCTCTACCCCCATTCCAGTGCGTGCACGCCTAGCATCCCTGTCCCCAGTCTTAGACCTACCCAGGTGACAGCCCTCTAGGAGGGCACAGATGGATGAGGCTGCTGGAGGGGACCTGGGAGGAGACATGGGGGCAGAGGTCACAGATCCCATGGTGGGATGTCCAGGCCCTACTGCCCTTTAGCAAGTCAGGACAGTCCTGGGGCTCAGGCCCTTCTGGGCCACCTTGTAGCTACATGATCCTGGATCAGTCAATTCCTCTGGCCCTGCTTGAGTCTCCTCACTTATAAAATGATTTCTTCTTGGATTGTGGGAAGAAAAACACTCCCCACACGAGTATTAGATGGAGCCTAGAAAGAAGGTGATGCATAAAGGAGGGATGGGCAACAATCTGAGGGTCCCCACTCCAGGGGTCCAGGGTGGGATACCCTCCGCAGGCACCCCCAGCCTGACAGGCACCCCCCCTACCCAGATCATCGCCTTTGACGAACTGAGGACCGACTTCAAGAACCCCATAGATCAGGGCAACCCTGCGAGGGCAGTAAGTCAATACATGTGATGTGCTGAGGTGTGGCCGTCAGTCTGTCCGCGTCTGTGTTGGGGCTGGGCAGAGGGCAGATCTGCGGAGGAAGATGGGGCCTCGGGGCAAGACAGTGAGCCTGGTAGGGGAGGGATCTTGGGAGGGCGAGATGGCCTGGGCATGGGGCGAAGGGGGTGGGAGAGGAGACTGCCCATTTCCCCAGCCTGCCTGCTGCCTTTGGCTTCGTGTCAGACCCTTTCTCGGGTCTCTCACGTTCCACCCGGGGCGTGGAAGCGAGCCCCCTGGGTGTCTCGGCCACCGCGCTCTTTGGCTGATCAAGTCCCGGCCGTTGCCAGGGAGATCCGGGTGAAGTGCCTGCCCTCCATGGCAACAGTTGCCATGGGAATGGCGGTGCCTACCTCTCCGGTGACATCGCCATGGAAACAAGGCTTAAGTCCCTGTGGCTGCGGGGAGCACAATGGGGGAGGTCTTCGCCCCCAGGGAAGCTGGACCTGGTGCGCCCCCCCACACACAGACATACACACCCACACACTGGACTCTCTCCCTCCTGCATCCATCCCTCACCTGGCTCACTCAGCCTGACCCTCCTCTCCTCCCCACAGCGAGAGCGTTTGAAAAACATTGAGCGGATCTGCTGCCTCTTAAGGAAGGTCAGTGGGAGTCCGCCTTGGGGGTCACAGGACCCCCGTCTGTCTGTCTGTCTGGCCATCTGCCTAGAGCCCTGGACAGGAATCCAGGCCCGCTATACCACTTCCATTTTGTGTCTGTGTGTGACCTCTGATCTCAATCTTTGTGCCCTGAAATGGTCGGACCGGTCGGGTTCGGCCCCATGTTTGGCCCCGATTTCGGTGATTCTAGGCGGATCCCCAGTCTTTGGCGCCTCACTCCTCCCTCAGCTCCATTTGTCCCAGGAAGGTGGGGGTGGCGGGTCGAGTTGCCATACAATGAGATGCAAATTAGGCATCCCTATGCAGCCCTTCTCTTCCCAGCAGGCTCAGGGACGCCCCACCCCAGGACCCCTACTCCCTCTCCCAGCCCCAGGACCACAGAACAGGTGGGTTAACGGAGCCCAGCTGCCTGACCTCAGTGCGGCGCCCTCTCCTCCGGGGCCTGTCAGGGGAGGGTGGGCCTCACCCCCTACGCGGGACTAGAGGGCAGACCCTGATTGGTCGGTGCCCCCCTGGCCCTCCTCCAGCTCGTGGTCCCCGAGTATTCTATCCACGGCCTCTTCTGCCTGATGTTCCTGTGCGCCGCGGAGTGGGTGACCCTGGGTCTCAACATCCCCCTCCTCTTCTACCACCTATGGAGGTGATCAGGCTGCGGGATTGGGTTGGGAGTGGCGTGCTAGGGCTGGGCTGGGCTGGGCTGGGCTGGGGAGGTTACTGCCGGGAGGGGTTCTGGTGTGGCCCAGTTGGGCCCTCAGGCCCGGGGGGGGGGGGGGGGGGGAGGAGGGGAGGAGGGGCCTCCACGTCAGGCTTCTGGGAAGGCAGATTTCAGCCTACTATGAGTCCCAACCGTCCCAAAGGGAAAATGGGCTGCCTTAGGAGGCAGCGAGCTTCCCATGCTGCAAAGTCTCCAAAGCCTCGGAGATGACTTCTCCGTTCCCGGGAGGGTCGCCCTCTCACCTGACATTTCGCGAAGTGGCGGCGGCTCTCCAGGCCCTACTCCCGGCTCCTGCCGCCCCCTCCCCTTCTCCCAGGTATTTCCACCGCCCGGCAGACGGCTCCGAGGTCATGTACGACGCCGTCTCCATCATGAACGCAGACATCCTCAACTACTGTCAGAAGGAGTCCTGGTGCAAACTCGCCTTCTACCTGCTGTCCTTCTTCTATTACCTGTACAGGTGAGCTCCGTCCCGCCTTTGGAGGGGAGAGGGACCCTCCTTCGGGGGATGAGGGGAAGGGCTCTCGCTGGCTGCCCGCGACCCCAGCCCGTCCTTCTCTCCCACAGTATGGTTTATACGTTGGTGAGTTTCTAAAGGGGGAAGCCGGCCAGGGAATGAACTCCAAGAACGGACCGGACGCCTGTGTACCCCCATCCCCGCGCCCCTTTTGGACAGCGGAGAAGAGCCACTCCCCGCCCCCCCCCCGGCCCCCAGAAGCCTCGCCTCTGGGGGAAGGCGAGGGGCGCCGGGGCCTCCTCAGCCCCTGCCCCCCAAATTGCTGCTATGGGATGGCCCGCCCCTCCCCCCATCCCCACTTCGCTCTCCTGCGCTGCGCCGCGCCGGCCTCTGTCAGAGCGGCGCCTCCCGAAGGCAGCCGGGAGCCCAGGCGGACGGGGGCCCTTCGAGCCCCAAGCCCCTACTTGGAAAACCTAGTACTTGGGGAGGGGTGTCGGGTCCTCATCCGCTTTGGGGATAACTGAGGAACAGGGGACGGGGGTGCTGGAGAGGGACCGAGCTCGGGAGAGGGGAACTGGGCCCACCCCACTTCCAGAACGAGCGAGTAATCACCCCTCTGCCCTTTCCCAGCGACCCCAGGGCGTCCCCCAGGGTTCCCTAAACCGGCCCGGGAGGCAGGGCCCCGGGGAGGGGAGGGGCGTGAGCAGGCTCGGCCTCCCGCTCCCTGCTCTCCCTCTGCCCTTCTCCCCTCTCCAGCCTCTTCTCGGCTCTTTCTTCTGTGCGCCCACCCCCTACCCCGTCCCTGTCTCTCCCCGTGCCCCGGTTTTCTAAGGCGTTGGGGGCCTGGCCCTTTCCAGCGCCTGGAGGAGTTTGTGTGTAAAACCCAAGTCTCTCTAGGCCAGTCCTGGCCATTTGTGATTGAATAAACAATTGCAAAGATCCGAGGACCAGGGTGTGGTGCTGGGGGGCGGAAGGGTGTGTGCGGCGGGAGTCCCTTGCCCGGCCCTTCATGACGAAGCTTGCCAGCACCCCCTCCAAGCTCAAAGGGCAGTCTCGAGTCCCTTGCCGGTTCTGGTCGCCATCCCCTGATGCACGAGCAGAAAACTCCTAGTGTCCAACCACTTTATGTAGAGATGGGGGTAGGCCCCTACCCAAGCTCACAGTGTGGTATGGCAGCAGAAAGGCAGGGAATGAGACCGCCGCGTCTTGGGGCCGGTGACCACCTCCCTCCCCTCAGGTGCCAATGTTCACGGTATAGAACTGAGTCTTTTGGGGTGGTCTGGTAGGCCTTGAGAAAGGCAATGACTGTCCCAAGGTCACACAGCTGAGGGGCAGAGCCAGAAATCAAACCCAGGTTCTCCATGACTCTAGGGCCATTACTGGCCCCCATTTTTCTGAGCATCAACCCTGGGTCAAGGCCCCTGGCAGTCACGGACCCTCCCTGAGAGCGCCAGAAGCCGGGGACATTCTGAAGGAATAAATGAATGCCAGAAGAGAAGCCCTTTCTCGAGTGGAGGAGGCGCCCTCCCCACCAGTGGAGCTCTTCCAACAGGCAGGACAACATCTTGTCAGAGGACCAGGTCAGACCAGATCCTCAGGAGCCCCTCCCAATCCTGAAATGCTACAGGGTTCCCAATGAAGTTGCCAGATCACCAGATTCTGAGTCGGGACCTGGGGTGCAAATCTGAGCTCCCCTACTCCCTACTTGTGTAACCTTGGCTAAGTCCCTATCTTTCTATGTGCCTCAGTTTTCTCATCAATAAAATGAGGGCACTGGACCAGATGTTCCAGCTTTAAACCCTCTGATGCTTTTTTGCAGGGCGGGATGGGGCCCGAAGTACATGTGTCAGCCCCTCTTACCTTTGGGGCCTCCTCTCCCTACCCGGAACTAGGAGCAGGAAACTAGCCTCGGCCCTCACAGGGGCCCAGATGGCCTCCTTTCCCAGGGAAGCCTCTGGCCCCTGGAGCTCACAGGCGGGAGGAGGATGGAGCAGCAGGGCACCATCTCTGGGGCAGCCCTGGGCGGCAGGGCAGGAACCACACAGCTGCATCTCAGCCCGTGTGGGGGCAGCCAGGGGCAGTGTGGTCGGTAAGCCGCCGGCCTCCCTCCCTGTAGTCTGTGAGGGCCCAACGAGACAACCCGTGTAAGACGCAGAGCAAGCTTTAACCGAGGGCTGGGGAAACGTTAGCTCCTCTCGGCTAACTTCAGCGGGGCCCGGCCAGGTCTCATCTATAAAACGGAGTCACCTCCGGAGCACCCACTCCAGTGCTTGGTGCTGAGGCTCAGGGGACGAGGCATCTGATGGGGTCCAGGCCTCACTGCCCACTCGCCCCCCCCCCACCCCGGGGTGCAGGCCCTAAGGGCTCCTCTGCCTGTCCCTGGCTGGCCATCCCTTCCCACCTCCTCGAACCCTCTTAAGGTCCTGTCCAGGGCCTTACTCCCAGGAATGAGGGACAGATGTGGCTGAAGCAATTAAAATCTTCAATATACAGGACAAAAATCATGGTCATCTTCATCGCAGTCTTCCTCAGAGAGGAGGGGAGACCCCATCTGGGTCACCGGACCAGGTGAAAGGTCAGCCAGTAGATAATCATTGGCTGGAAGGCAGCCTCGGCCAGGGTCAGGTACAGCTGGAAGCGCTGCCGGGGTGCAGGCCCCCCCACGCCATCAGTGCCCACAGAGGTCATCCGCAGCGAGCGCACCTGTGGGAGACAGACCTTCAGGCGGGGCCGGAGAAAGGGCAAAGGGCAGGGACCAGCCCCGGGCTGAGGGAGGGGCACATCCCGGTCACTGGCCCCATCCTCCTCATTAGTCTGAGAGGAGCCAGAAGTGAGGCTCCCCGTGAGGAGGCAGGGAGGAGGGGGAGGGGGCAGAGGCCGGGCAGGCCACTCTGCCCCACGTCTCAGGACTCACAATGAAATACATGAGGGCAGCCGAGGTCCAGGCCAGGGCCACGTAGTAGCCGTCACTGCCGAAGAGCAATCCCGTGAGCACACTCAGGATCATGCTGGGGAGCAGAGGACAGTCAGGCACCCCTTGGGTGGTTCTGTGTTCTAAGGCCTTCCCAGCCCTGGCATTCCTGATTCCATGTTTAGCCCAGCTAAATGGGGGGCCAGTAATGGCCCTAGAGTCACGAAGAACCTGGGTTTGATTTCTGGCTCTGCCCCTCAGCTGTGTGACCTTGGGACAGACAGTCACTGCCTTTCTCAAGGCCTACCAGACCACCTCAAGGCACCCCTTGGGTGGCCCAGGCCTGAGGGTGGGCCGAGGGGCCGAATCCACAGCCTGACTTCTTGTTGGGGCAACGTTGCACAGCAAGGCAGCTTTCCCTCCTTGGGCCTTGGTTTCCCCATCAGTAAAACGAGGGAGTCGAAAAGATATTCTTTGATTCCCCCAATTCTGACATTCCCTGTTTGAAGGGCCCTCTCGGCTCTGACATTTTATGTCCTAAGCTCCATCCCATCCCAACGAGAGGATGTGACTTGCCCAGGGTCACACAGCTCATGAAGGGACAGAGCCAGGATCTGAACCCAGGTATCTTGAATCTACGTTCCAGACACCGAGCTATTTCCAGGGTTCTGATCTTGACAAAACTCCGCCATCTCCAGCCCAGTTCCACTCCTTTCCTCCCTCCCTCCCCAAGTCCGGCCCTGGTCCTCAACACTGTACCTTCATCTCTCCCTACTCTCTCTGCCTGGTGGCCTCTGGTGCAGAAACTTCAACAGCCATCCCTGCGTCTGGGGGAAAGGCCCCTGAACCCAGCCCAGCCCTGCTCCGCCCCCCCCGCCCCCCCCCGAAACTCACCCCACGTATTTATAGCCACTGTAGGCAAGCAGATGGAAGGTGCCCAGGTCACTGCGGACTGTGGCCAGATAGAGGCCAAGCAGCAGGGCCAGTACCTCGATGACGACCCACACCAGGGCTGTGCTGGCACACAGGCCGAGCACCTCGGGGGAAAACCTGGCGCAGAGTGGGAGGGGGGTCAGCAGAGGGAGGCCCTGCTCTTCCCCAGGCCCCCCGGGGGAATCAGGATCACAGCAGCCGCGAGCGACCAGGCTCAGAGACCTCAGACCTCTGACAGAGAGGTGGTGGGCGACAGGTGTGGAATGAGGCATACTTCTCAGAGGTGGACAAGGGGTTCCCAGGGACGGTCTTCTCTGGGACTGGGGAGGGGGCAGTGAGTAGAAGATCAAGAACCCTTTTTTCCTGATCACTCCCCCTCCTCCCCTCTGCCCTCAAAAACACCCTGTTAGGCAGGAACCCAAAACACTCTTGCTTCCGTTCTACAGATGGAGAGGCTGAGAAAAGCACTCAGTAGAGATAGGGCTTGAGTCCAGGGCTCCTTCCACCCCCAAGGAGAACACAAGGTGGGGGGGTTAAGGATAGGGCTGAGCCCCTGCCCTGTCCCTCTTCCTCTGGCCAGGCGACTTGAGAACCAGATTCAAAGGGTCAAAGAGCATCCCCACCCAGGCCCCAGCAGTGAGGGGTGGGGGTCAACCTTTTCTGAATGCCCAGCGCCATCCCAGCCAGGAGGATGTATGTGATAAAGGCCATCGCTGCCAAAGACAAGACAGAAATGCAGGGCTTCAATGCAGTGAGCTCAAACCCCGAGCCCCAAGCACCAAGACTGGGCCAAGCCCCAATCCCCAAGTCCCGAGCCTTGAGCCCCGAGCCCCTAGCCCCAGGCATCAGGCTCCCTTCTGCCCATCCCCACCATCTCACCTTATCAGGCCCCTCCCCTCTGCCCCGGCCTGATACTCACTGGGGATGTAGAGGTCAGGGGCGTTGAGATCCTGCCGAGGGGGCAGGGGCATGTCCCGGCTGTACTGAACCTCCCAGTTCTCGGGGGCAGAGGGAACAGAGAGATAACGTTAGGGCCCGGGAAACAGCTGAGCTCAAGCCACACGCTCCCAGCCCAAGGAGACCAGGAGCCCCGGGGAGGCAGACGCCGCCTCACCTGGTGCGTGTAAGGGAAGATGAGTAGGCCCAGCTTCCTGGCCACGTAGGAGGTGTCCACCGCAAAGAAGTGTTTGAGCTTGTTCATGGACACAAACCTGTGAAGCTGGAGAAGAGAGAGGCCACTGAGGGGTGATCGAGGCATCGGGAACCAGGAGGGTCTTAGAACACGCAATCAGGAATGCCAGGGCTGGGAAGGCCTCAGAACACAGAATCAAGAACACCAGGGCTAGAAGGCCTTAGAACATGGAATCAGGAATGCCAGGGCCGGAAGGCCTTAGAACATGGAATCAGGAATGCCAGGGCTGGAAGGCCTTAGAACATGGAATCAGGAATGCCAGGGCT